TTTTATTCTTAACTCCCACGCACAATTTCACAGATTCGTGATCTAGAGAATATTCACCACGAACGACTGCTGGAGACGGCTATCGTTACGTTGGAGAAGTACGTAAAAAATGAACTTGACGATGAGCTCCCAGAAGATCTTAAAATGGTATGTAACATGCATTTGTTGAAACAATGAATGAAGATTCTCCAATTAAGAGGATAGAAATCCACTAATGGATATTGTGGGATTTTGGGAGCAAGGGAATAGCAAATTATGATAGTAAAACCGGGCATCGTCTTATATATGTGTGTGTTTAAATCATGTTCGTTTGTTATGCTAATTTACAACTGATAGGAAGCTACTAACTGTTACTATGAATGAACTGAATTTTAAATGCGGGAAAAAAAGATTTTGATGAACATTTAAAACCCCATAAAAAGGTATTATTTGGAAGATTAGACCTACATTTGGCTCTATTGTTAGCCAGCCAGATGCAGTATAATACCCCTTTTACACTGCCAAGGGCAGAATAAACCTGTGTTAATCCCGAGTGAATTTCCCAATTACATCGAACGAAAATGTCCCCATTTTACACTGGCAACGAACTCATGTTCAAACCGCCCTCAATTTTTGTTATGATGGTGATCATCACTTCGCTCGAGTTCCTCATCGTCACAAAGCCTCAATTATTGTCAATATTGAAGCAATGTAGCTGCAGGTTGTTTTTAAATTATGCGAATTAAAAAAGTTTTGATATTGTCTATACCGGAGTGTAGAGGGTTTAATTTGAATAGTGTCTAGGCCTAGCCTGTTGCTAGCAAAGTTTAGGCCTACCTGACCACAGCTGCTGTAGGTGCCAGGTAAAGCCTAATTGCGGAATCAAATTTGGTGCTGTTTACACTGGCGACTCCGGGATGCACCCGAGTTGTCCTACGCTGAATGCGTTCCGCACGTCCATCCTGGAATGTTTCGCAACCCAAGTCAGACTTTTCAACATTTACACTAACCACAACTCGGGAGATTTTAACCCGGGTATTGGAAAATCCTGGGCTATGTCCGAAATTTTGCTTGCAGTATAAATGGAGTATCAGACCATATCAAGATGTCGGGTGTCGTAGATGCCCAATGTCCAAAAATATGCTCAAATTCGAGGGTTGAATATATGGCAAGTTTATTTTTTTAATTATTTAATATTTTTAAATTGGTAATGTGAGACCTTGGTTCTTTTTTTTGTGTATCAATAGTTACTTGTTGACAAGGACACAATTTCAAATGCTGTCAGTGCATCGCACGATGTCCACATGTTGAAGATCGACAACAGAGAAGATGATATCATACAAAGAGCCAATGGCTGGATGGCGAGTCTCGTGGAAGGTATCCACAACGAAGAGGAAGTCAAGAGGAACAGGGACAGAGTGAAAGAGATCAGTAACTTCATTGATCATTTGGGAGATGAACTGGAAGTGCTGGACTTGCAGGGAACCATTTAATTCACATTTCTGACCTCAGAATATGACCTATATGCTGGAAGTAACATGCTAAGATATCATCTTTGTACACAAATCTGGAAAAATTTCAAGTAGAGATTTTTTAATTCTTGGGAAATAATTTGTCATTAAATATCCTTAGAATTCCAATATATCTCTCAGTTACCATAGTTTTTCCTCAGTGGTTTGTAACACAAATTCAAAAAATGTTGAATATCAAAGTAGAGATTTTTTAATTCTTAAGAAATAATTTTTGCAAATTTAATGTCATTGAATGAATATTTTTAGAATTTAAATATACCTTATTAATAGTTTTTTCTCGGTATCTTATAACACACATTAATAATCAAATACAAAGAGATACATTTGTATATATGTACAGTACTGCTTTTACACTTGCTGCCCAAGTCACTTGTGAATTTATTGTCATTAAACATCTTTAGAATTTATTAAAAGTTATAGTAAATCAATAAATTTGTATAGTGCCTGCTGTTTAAAATAGTAGTAATAATTAAGCTTTAAGTTTGTATTTTTATTTTTGTATTAAGTTGGTTTAATGCAGTATGAATGAATATTTTTTCCCGAGACAAAATTTGTTTTATATATTTCATGAGTGATATGATTGATCAATATAATAAATTACTGAAATTGAAAGTATTGTATTTATTAAAACTGCTGGTAGTTGGTATGTTCCTACTATAGTTGAGTAAATTTGTGGCATTCACACCACCCATGCTACATTCGTATATATATCAAGTGAACTAACATGAGGATTTATATCAAACACGTCCACCATGGCGGATCTTTTTTGGTAGGGATGACGGGAGTGGCAATCAAGGACCTATGGTCTAAATGGGTGGAACTTATGGTCGAGAGAGGAAGGTTTTGGGGTGTCCTTACCTGTTAATAAATAATAATAAAATCTCTCTTTTACAACGGAGGCCCGTTCACCAAGATGGTATTCCATGAGGCCGTATATGTACCTTGTATCATAACTTACCTATAAAATGAACGAGTCAACAAGAACTACACGATTTTACACTTGGTTAATGATTTCTTACCTGCTACAGGGGCACAGGCTGGTTTTAACATTGGGGGATGTGAAACAACCTGGGGGTTGCGAAAATTGGGAATGCACAACTAAATCCCTATTCCAATGAAAAATTAATGGTCATTTTCAGTATTTTAATCCACATAGTGGAACCAATTTGCCACCATGGGGGATGCGTGCACGCCCCAGCCTATGCCCATGTGCTACTGGAGGTTGGGTAGTTCCCTTTTGTAACCCTTGGCTCCCTCACTGACTATCTGAACATGTTTCCGAATCATGTGGTTGGATGGTAATGTGCATCACTGCTCTTGTGTTGACGCTTCTCATAGTTGGGGAACACCATCGTTTTGATTTATTAGGTTCTAATGACCTAGAGAGCAGTGGCGTATCTAGAAGTCGGGGGACTGATGGGGTGCAAAAGTGAAGTGGGGGCTCGATGATCAGTTGAGGGGCGCTAATTCGCAAAATATGGTGATTTGGGGGCCCTCCCCTAGATACACCAAATGCTTGAGAGCTCCTTTTGTGACCTCCAAAATTCACAAGATTTGTAACAAAATATGTCAAAATTATATTAGGTATACTTTTAATCATCCAAATATGGAACATAATTTACAGGATTACATGCTACATCATGAGTTCAAATGTACATTAATTTGAATTGCGACGTTAGATTGTATTTATTTTTATTCTGCATGAATTATTTTTTGTTGTTAGTCCTTCATCCCCTTTCCAAAGTGTTGATGATTCTGTTCCCCTTATTGTTTCCAGCAATCACATTCAAATTTAACACTGGATTCTACAGGTGTCATACTGCGATTTTCTTAATGATATGCGCTGTTTCTGTTACCAGGTGGACAAATAATGTTGCAGCTGCAACTCTTGCTTGCAGATCCATATGATCAATTCGGTGCCCCCATTCTACTTCTCCCCATTTAGATATCTGAAACAAAACAAATGGTTAGTGTAGGCTATTAGTGTATTATTCAACTACATTACAGTCATTTTATAACAGAGTTCAATTTTTCAACCTTTTAGCTTATTTTTATTTCTAATGTAAAATGCAGTGAGGCTTCTAGAAAAATGAGCTCAGTCAAAATTGAACATTTTTTATAATATATTTTACTTATTCCAATTTAGCTTCTTATTAACCCATACCCTAAAATAACTGTGATACTCTGCAGGCGTGGTGCCTGATAATTCCTAAATTGTCATATTCTTTTGGCTTCACCACACCCACTTGGCTCTTGTTGCAGACATCATTTATTATACAACACAATATATTATCTACAGTTCAAGGCTGGCTCCAATATTATTAGAAAGACTGCATAACATAATGTGATGGTAAGAGCTGAAAATCCTTATGGATCTCCACATTTGGTTGCCATTATGTGGAGAGCATAGTGTAACTTTAAACAGCCTGTCAAACCATCACCAAAAACTTGGCCAGGTCTTCCAGACAAGTATCCATCTCCCTGTAGAATTGAGGAAGCATTACTTCCAGCTGCGGTTGAGGTATTGCAGGAAACAGAACTATCAACAATTAACATCATAATCCATGGACAAATGGCAGGCAGCTTTGTGACCCTGTCCTAACTTGTTGGACTGTCTATTCCAACTAAAATGCAACATGTCCCCACATAAGGAATGTTACAAACACATGCCTATGTAAGCATGCAGTACTTAAAATGTACCAACAATTAGAATGGAAAGAAGATGATTGTCTTGTTTTTGCATGTGTCTTGATTCGTATCCAGGTAGCTAGCCAAACTAAAAGCAGATTTGGTTGTTCCTACATCTCAAATAAAATACACTAATAAATATTGGATTCCAGTTTTTACGGGCAAGATTTTAAGGGACAAATTTGCTAGTGGGCAAGTTGACTGGTTAGCATAATATGAATCAAAGGTCAAATAACATAGAATCAACAAGCCAATCTTTTCTTTCTAATACATATACTGTACCAGAATAATATGGTTATTTATTAAATAAGAGCAATTCTATTTTTGTTTCATAATTTTTTAAGCAACTATAGAACATCTTCAATAATTGAACATAATGACCTTACTTTAATAAACTTACATCCCATCCTCTGTAAAAAGGTAAAATAAAATAAATTATAAATATTTACTGTCTTTTTTATGAAATTGTTTTGAAAACACATTCCAAAATATTTATATAATTTATAAAAATATTTTAGATTGTAATTCTGTACTGACCATTGTTATATGTAATAATTATACATCATTATTCAACAAGAGTAAATAATATTTATAAAAAATAATTTCTTTAAACTCTATTGGAAATAAATATAAAACCTTATTTTTTTTAATGATTGTCAAAATTCTTTTCAGTATTGTTATAATCATTATCCTTATTATTGTCATTATCATCATCATGTTTCACAACAAAAGCAAATTTGAAAATGTAAAGTATTCCTTTTATCAAAACTGCCTGCACACCTAATAAGTAGAAATGTTATAATTAGTTGATGGTTGATATAAAATGAATATTTAATTGCGACTTACTTGAAATTGCTCTTCTAATCTTGATAATGCCATGGCTCTCTCAACGTGAATATGTCGGTCCATCAGAGCAAACGCTACCACCAGTGACTTCAAGGATTGCACCGCACTTTCATACCCTATCATATCCAACATGGTAGTAATAATATAATATTAATGACTATACAGTAAAGGAGAAATTTACCAATTTTATATAATTTAAAAACTGAGCATACTTGATTACTTGATTACATAACGTTCGCTCTCATAACGCTTGCTCAAAATTAGTAATGATGTTTAGTCATTACACATACCGAGTAATGCCCAGTCATTGTGAGTCATTAGATGATGCTGCAGCTTTGATCTAGTGTCTTCAGGTATCGTTGGTGGCATGATGGACATCGTGGATGTAACGTCTGTATCGTATCGATTGTTGAACCACTCCAACAATGGATCCCACTCATTTGTTTGGAGTTCCACCAAGTCTACTGGTAAGTCTTGTCTGTAGCTACAGTAATATATTGATTATTGCTACTAAAGCAATGTATTAATTATATTGCTACTAAAGCAATGTATTAATTATAATGCTACTAAAGCAAAGTATTGATTATATTGCTACTAAAGTAATGTATTGATTATATTGCTACTAAAGAAATGTATTGATTATATTGCTACTAAAGCAATGTATTGATCATATTGCTACTAAAGCAATATATTGATTAAATTGCTACTAATGTAATGTATTGAATAGATTATAAAGAACATTTATCGCTGCAGCGTGAATAGCTTGGCAAGAAGCTATATAGAAACACGGTCAAGAAAACAAATAGAGCACAATTCTATCACGTCCAAGTCTTATAACCACCCTTCACAAAATCATTATGTCCGTTCACTAACCTATTTGTCACTAATACGG